CTTCCATGCAGCTTCTCTGCGGAAACCAGGCGCATATGTTCGGGGCTGAGCCAAGCGTTTTCATGTGCGGCGCGGACATCCCTGCTCTTGGCAGTCTGCGCAAAGCTCAGCATGCCCTGGATCAGCTCTACCTGAGCCCTGCCTGGGTTGACCTGGAAGAGACGCACTTGGCCGTAGTAAGCTGGATTCTGTGTGTGAAATGCCCGTTTTGTTGCCTAATGTGGACAGTGTTTTAAACAGTTCAGAGACGTCACCCGCCCTGTGTTTTGTACTTTGGTGCCGTCTCTCTGGCGCATGAGCCCCCATGACCACTTCTTGTCCCTTTTCACACATTAGCTATTAGTTCTACTTTTAGCTTTGTTTCTGAAGTCAGCCAAGAGGTGGTTTTTAGAATGTGTGTGGGGGGACCATTCTGGGGACTAAGGTTTCGTTTCCTCTTAGCGTATTCTGGTCCAGTCAGTAGACCATCTTCAAATGTGGCACAGTAGACCACATTGAGGCAACTACCCTGATGTATTCTTTTCTCCCTCTTGCTTACCATCTGAGTAGCATGCCGAGTAAAAGAGAAAGGACAGAGATTACTTAGCTCCAGTTGTGGAGTCCAAGGTCAGAGGGCCACGTGCGGGCCTTCATGCTGAGGAGGACTCTGCAGGGCCCCACGGCCACACAAGCATCACACCACAACAGGGCAGGAGCATGCGTATCCGTGTGTCTGTGTCTCTGTCCTTCTCCTTATGAAGCCACTAGTTCTCAGTCCTGGGGCCCCGCCCTGATGACCTCTCCTACTCCTAATTTCGGCCCGAAAGCCCCACTTGTTAGTACCATAGCAGGTTTAAGTTTCTACCCACCTAACATTGCAGTCCAGTTATGTTTCTAACACCGAAACTCTTGGGTGGCACGTCCCCAAGAGTTTATCCCTAAATGCTAACCATACGTAGGTCAGAACAGGACCAGCAGCTAAGAACAAGAGTCGCAGCGTTCACTGTGTAAGAAATGCTGTCATCGTTCACTGGTAAGAACCCTGATCTGATCTTCCATGATGGACCACTGACGCGATCTGTCTGTTCTGTTTTCAGGGTCTACGCCATGTACAATTCCGTAAAGGGATCCTGTTCTGAGCCAGTTAGCTTCACCACCCACAGCTGTGCACCCGAGTGCCCTTGCCCACCTAAACTGGCACACAGGAGCAAAAGTTCTCTGACCTTGCAGTGGAAGGTGGGTCGCGCTCAGTACACGGTCTCGATACCACGTCGTCTGTAGCCGTTGGAAACGTGTATTCAGCGCTATTCCAGTTTCACGGTAGTGACTGGGTTTCTACATGGCGCCTGTGTGGAACCAATTATTACAATGTGCAAAGGTGCCATTGCTGTGGGAATGGGCAAAGGGGTGAGCGGAGGGGACTTCAAAATCCAGCTTTCATTCCTTTGCAGGAGATTCGATAAAGTTAGGATCAGAAGCAATATTTTATAAATGATACAAATGCTAAAACAGCTAAATTCTATCCTTTTTTGATGTTTATTTCAACAAGCCTTTAAGGACTTATTAAAGCAATTTTTATAAAGAAAATTTTTAAAGATAAAGTAGGTTTATGGTCCTTTTGGCTTCTTCCATGGTGATTCTGAAATATTTAATATTTAAAACTGCCCGGAATTTTTAGTGTTCTGAACACATTAGGGCTTCATTCATCTTCACTAATGGAGCCCTAGGTATCAGTCATTATTTTTAAAAGGATGAATTATGTAGTTGTCTTCATGACATACAATTTACTGACTAAAAAGAACTTTTGCTGAAGAGAGAGGTTATTGTGCTTTCTTCAAGGTGCACCGTTAGCCTTTCAGCACCGCTGTGCATTCGCAAAGCGCACTGTTACTTAACTCTGCAGTAATTATTTCTGTATGGCGATATCTTAAAGCACAGATTAACATGTGCAGTAAGTAGCGGTCATGAAACTAGACAGTTTGGGGGAGAATACTAAAGAGGTAGGATGGCGAGGAAGAGCCCCAAATATTTTGTCCAATTGATCTGGGGCATTGGTTGGAGCAGCGTGACTCCTGGTGCGCAGCGAAGCGTGGACTTCAGCAGACCCCTCCGTGGGGACAGCTGCGTTCCTTCCGTAGCCAGTGGCCAGCATCAAGTGTGGTGTTTGGACAAGGGGAAAGTTTAAACTGGCTTAGACTCTGAACTATTTCATTTTCCTTTCTGGCTGCCAGGGATAATCCAGGTCAGTGATTTCCCACCTTACTAGTGTTTTCACACCCAGCTGGGCATTGTCGTTTAATTGCTTGGAGCATAAATATCCATTTAAAAGTGTGTTCTACATTTATACATATGTGTGTAAATAGATCTTTTCTTAAAGAAAGGATTAAAATCCGTTTAGTTTGGAAAACAGAAGGAATATTAGCAGAGGGACCCCAGGGTCTTGTAAACCTAAAGTTGGGAATCACTGATACATACTCTGCTTAAAACCTGGATGGAAAATAAATAAACAGATAAATAAATTCAGGTCTCAGACAAGCAGCAGCTTCAAGAAGAAGTTCTATTTTCTTTTGTTTAATTGCCAGAGCGTGCGTGGACTCGCCAGCGAGAGATGGAGTGAGGCGGAGAGGGAGGAGGCACCCCTGGTGGGGAGGTGGCCGCACCGCAGTCCCTCTCCTCCATGCCTCCGTCCTCTCAGGCTTCCACGCACAGGCACACATGCCCAGTGTGCTGCTCAAGCCACCAGGCTGAGACCGGAACCGTAGGCAGCCACGTGGGATCCAGATTTCTTAACCACTAGGCTATGGACCGGCCCAAAAGAGTTTTCTCATCGGAAGGAAACTGTCTCACGTTTTCTTTCTCCCTTTTCTTCCGGGAACCTTCTCTGGCCGTCAATCTGCTCTCAAATCCACAAAGACACTGAAAAAAGGAGAGAGATCTTCTGACCTCTTCCTCTTAGTCAGCAACGGTCATAATTTACACGGGAGATAATAAGGCAAAACGAGAACCAGTCAGTGTACCAATCCGCCAGGAATTAGGGTGCGTGTGCTCGCAGGAGAGAGTGAACAAGAGAGAGTGAGAGGGAAACTGAGAAATCACCCCCCAGGGGAGATAGCCATGCCACAATCCCTTCTCTTCCATTCTCCTGGTATCTTGGGCACGCACGCACACGCGCCTGGCATGCTTTTCAAGTCATAGGATCCGGGACTCAAACTGTGGTCGGCCATGTGGAAATCCAGTAACATAACCACTATACCATCTGCTGGCCCCCAGAAGAGGTTTTTAAAATTAATTTAGCATTTACTGAGCTCTGGGGGAGGTCATTATTCAGAATTCTAGAGCAACAGTGACTGTTTACGGGGTTCTTCCTATAAACCGGGGTAGGTGAGAAGAGGAACTTGTGTATATAATTCTGAGTATTTATCACATCTGCCTATTCTTGGAAAAAGCAACTAGACACTGATTTTAGGCAGCTCACACCAGACCACACATGGCAAAACGCTGAGCTGGGGCTCGGGTGCAGCTGGAGGGACCCGGGCTACCTTTCGTAGGGGTAAGGCATCCAGATATTCTTTGGGCATCCAGATATTCTGGGGATGCCACAATCCCTTCTCTTCCATTCTCCTGGTATCTTGGGCACGCACGCACACGCGCCTGGCATGCTTTTCAAGTCATAGGATCCGGGACTCAAACTGTGGTCGGCCATGTGGAAATCCAGTAACATAACCACTATACCATCTGCTGGCCCCCAGAAGAGGTTTTTAAAATTAATTTAGCATTTACTGAGCTCTGGGGGAGGTCATTATTCAGAATTCTAGAGCAACAGTGACTGTTTACGGGGTTCTTCCTATAAACCGGGGTAGGTGAGAAGAGGAACTTGTGTATATAATTCTGAGTATTTATCACATCTGCCTATTCTTGGAAAAAGCAACTAGACACTGATTTTAGGCAGCTCACACCAGACCACACATGGCAAAACGCTGAGCTGGGGCTCGGGTGCAGCTGGAGGGACCCGGGCTACCTTTCGTAGGGGTAAGGCATCCAGATATTCTTTGGGCATCCAGATATTCTGGGGAAGAGCAGGTCCAGGCATGTTTTTGAAATATGATCTGACTCCTCTCTCCCCCTCCCTCCCTCCCTCTCTTACTTTCTTTCTTATTTAATTTATTTCTTTTATGGGAGACAGACAGAAAAATCCGCATCTTTAACAGGGTCTCCCAGGCTGTGATTTTCTTCCCAGTCTCCCAGTATCATAGATGCCTGCACCTAGTGAGTCCAGGTTGACCAGGAGTCTGACCCGGGGCCCCCGCCATGGTGCCACTGTTGAGCAAGCGCCCTTCCACCTGTGCCATCCCGGCTCCTCTTTCTGACTGCCTCCACTCTCCCTTAGTTCCCCTGTCTCTCGCCCTCACCATCCCGGTGCTCCGGCAGAACCTGCAGGGACACCCTAGCTAGCCAGTCTTAATTCTGCAAGGTCCTCTTTCCTCCCAGAGCCCTCGCTTCCCTTCCCATTGTTGAAAACTTATTTTCTTAATGAAGCAGATCTCAGCATGCTTTGAAGAGGAAAGAAAATGAGGAAACTTCTTTTTATTAACCTGAAGAGCAAATAGCCTCTGGCGAAGGGAGAGTTACTGCCGCAGATCACTTTGTAATCTCTAACATCCAGAAATAAATGGGGGTCGATATAAAAATCCAGTCCTGACGGTGCCCCGGAGGATCCCTGGCAGTGTCTATCTCTCAAACGCCTTTCCCCCTTCTAGACTGGAATTGGGCCTTTTAGGAGCCAGACAATGCTGCAGCAATCAAATGGCATGCTCTGTGAGGCAAGCCATGGGGAAGGTTCCAGATCCCTGTCTGGAGTCCTCTCTGAATACACCAGGCACTGTGTGTCAGGGATCCATGGCTGCCTGGCGTGGAGAGCCACTGGGTGCTCTTGCTCGCTCACTCATGGAGGAAATAAATACATGAACTTAAATAAAGGGTCTCTTAAAATGTATGCCCCGTGGAAGTAGGGCGCTGCGTTGTTAAAAGGGCAGCGGTGGGGGGGTAGGTCGGCCTGGCTGTTTGCAGGGTGTGATTACTGCCAGCGAGGGCTCCACCTCCGGCTGAGTCCTGTTACGTGGGGGTGTGATGACGTTCGACTAAGGAACTTGCACGCCGCTGTGGGATTGGTGCCCGGCAGGAGCACGGAGCTGTGATCGACACTGAGTTTAAACCAAGTTGGGGACTCCCAGGTTTTGTCTGTGAACAACTTTCTCTAATCTCATTGTATGTATTTATTTTTTTAGGCACCAATTGACAATGGTTCAAAAATCACCAACTACCTTTTAGAGTGGGATGAGGTAAGCAAATATTCCTACTCACCCATGTAAAACACTGTTTAAAAATTGAAATTACCAAGCGTGGTCTTGACTGGGGCTGAGGGTAGATTACGGCATAAAGATCCTTTCGGAGGTGCCTGTGTGTGTGTGTGTGTGTGTGTGTGTGTGAGTTTATTTGTAAGCGATGCCACTGATAGATAAAGCAGGGTCTTATCTAGGTGGGGTTTCTGGTGTCTAGCCAACCATTCATTTGTATTGAAAATTGGCTGCTTCGTCATCTTACTATTGAGGAGGTTTTGAGAAGATAAGCACACTGTGGTTTGGGAAGGATAAGCTGCTTTTCCACTTTGGACACCGTGTGTGTCCTTTGGGGTGCACTGTGGACTGTTAGCGGGCCATGGAGGTGTCCCAGAACCTTGCTGTGCACACCTGTGGGTGAGGCCATCCGAGAGCAGGTACCTTCTTTGCCATTCGCGTCACCAGATGCCCTTGAATGGCATCCATGGTGGCAGCTCCTACTTTTCAAAGCCAGTCTGAGCCGAATGGTGACCTGGTCTATTTCCAGCCAAGAAAATGCTACACACACAGCATCAGGCACCAGCCGGGGATGCAGAAGCCTTCTGTGTCTAAAAACCACCTGTCCTTTTTGTTTCTGCAGGCCATAATTCTACTCGCTTGTTTTCCCTTGTTTTATTCTGTCTTTCTGTGGTTGAATAAACAGGCTAAGGATTTTAAGAACAGAAACTGTGGGCTTGGGGAAGAAATGCACGCTACCCCGTCTTTGCACTTAAATTTGGGGGGATGGAATGACTCAGGACATAAGCGTGGGCAAAAAGTGACTCGTCAAGTGTGGAAAAATATTTAACCCAGTGTAGACTGAAAATTGGATGAAATTCTCTTGATGAAATCTTGATGGGAAAGAGGGGCCCTTCAGTGCTTTGTGTAGAAGCACATTTTCCATCCGGGCTGCATCTGGACAGCTGGAGTTCCAAGTTACCAGAAACAATGACCTATTGTTCTTAGGATCCTCGTGATTCAGTTCGCATGTGCGGATTGGTGAGACCTGCCATAACCAGCCCGTGTTACGGATTTGGTAGATTCCATTTAAGGTGATTTGATTGGAACGTGAAACCACCACCGTGGCCCTGATAGATTTTTCCAGAGCCCAGAATGTTGGATGGAGCGTGAGCGGTGGTGCCGTGGCAGCACATGCTGTGGGAGGCTGACCCAGGTGGGATCCAGGTTCTCATCTGCTGAACGCCCCGCAGTCTGCCAGCACGTGCGCCCCGTGATCCGTGCTCATGAGGGCTGGAGTGCAGCATTGGGCCCCGCAAAGGGATGATCGCTCTCACCCTCGCTCTCTGTGTCACCCTCTTCCCCCTTTCTCTGTCTTTCTCATTCATGGAAAATAAACAAATACACACAAAAAAAGGTTGAAAAAGGTCTTGGATGACCCATGAGCATGGAGGGACATCGCCCCACCCCCCACCTGCCCCGCAGTAAGGAGGAGAGAGTTTAATGCTGATCTGTTTTACGTGTGGGTTTGTCGCACTGGCCTGGTGTTTTTTCTCCTTTCTTGAGGTTCTGTATCAGGATGGGCTTGATAAAGACAAGACTCCGTTTCATTTCAGACATGCTCTCAGGGAACTGTGTGTGTGTGTGTGTGTGTGTGCGCGCACGCACATCTGTCCATCCTGTCCTGTCCTGTGTTGCTTTCTGCTGCTCCACCTGGCACCACATCCTCCTATGTTCTGGAAGGTCAGGAAAAAAATGAGCACGTGAACAGGAGACCTCTGAGGAAAACTCGGGTGCAGGAAATGGTGATGGTGACCCCGTTGCTGCCCTGCCCACAGAATCGGAAACCGAAGTGTCCTGGGTGGCACGTCAGTGCACCATGGCACCGGTGACACGGGGAAGCCACATCAGGACCATGGAGGCTCAGCACAGCCCACTGTGGGCAACTGGTCACAAATGTCAGATGGTCATGGTGGCCCCTGCCTTCCCCTGCTCAGTCTCTGTGCCTCGTCTCCTCTTTTCCATCTAGATTTTCTGGCTTCCCCCTTTCTTTCCTCTTTATTTTCTCTCCCACCTTCAGATTCCTGCGTTTTGGTGAAGGTTCCAGGTTAATCGACTCACAGCTATCTTGCCACACTCGGGAATCATCTTGTATTCCGTAGCAACAGTCACCTTCTAGAAAGACGTTAAGGGGGAAAATAGAGAGGCAAGACATTTATGGGACACAGAATGGATGATCTGTTACGGTAACGTGTATAGTATCCTCAACTGGACTGTTGTGAAGTGTATTCATGGTGGGAAAATTCACTGTGTAAGCTAAGTGATGTATAGTGATTGAATGTATGAAAGAAATTAAATTAAAAAAAGAAAGAAAGAAAAATTGAAACTCTGTGAAGTGCACCCTTCCTTCAGGTGCAGAGAGCTCCCTGGCAGCGGAAGGTAATTGAAAGAGCACCAGGATTAGGAGGTAGCAGTTCTTTTTCAGGTTTGATGCCGTGTAGCTTGACCGCACTGTCCTTAGCCTGCCCGAATGTGAATTGGCAGACGTCAGCCCTGTCCCATCCACGTTGTACCTGTGATCTCAAGACAGATTATTTAAGATGATCTCTTCTGATCTCAAAATATTCTGAGACTACTTTAGAATCCTTTCCACTGTTGTGTGGCCGGCTCATTTATTAACAATTTCAGCATTTATGGCGTGTACTCGCAGAGCCCTGACACCACACCCTGTCCTGTAGGGGAGGTGCAGTGTAGGACAGGAACCCTCCTGTGCTAACTGGAAACACTAACGTGGGTGTACCCTCTCGTGCCTCTGAACAGGAACTAGGGAAGACCAGTACGTGCTGTTCAGCCCCTCCGTCTGGTCCCCCATCAAGATTTAAGAGTGGCCCCATTGGGTTTTCTGGCAATGAGATTACAAAGAATAAACCACGTTGTTCCTGCCCATCCAATCATGCCAGAAGTCTAGGTCTTGACATAGCTGTCTTGTCTGTGCTACTGTTTGGGGTTAATGTCGGGCTCAGGACCCCTTGGGGGCAGCTCAGTTGAGTGGGTCTTTGCGTCCCACATCCCTGCTGCCTAGACCTTGCTTTGAAGAAAGAAAAGCACAGGCACATCCAGAGGAGGGCAGCACCTGGCCTGCGGGGGTCAGAGACACGGAGTCTCTGGCTGTCCCTCTCACACAGAGTGTCTGGAGTACCTTGTAGAGTCAGGTACATCTGGGACCAGGCCTGATTCCAAGCTCCGCCCTGGTGGAGTGCAGTCGGGCAGGAGAATGGGAAGGAGAATTGGATTCACTGTCATCCTACCCAAAGCAGACTTGGAGTACAGAGAGATTGTGGGTGCACAGAGGGACAGGCACCGCTCAGAGTCCCAGCCAAGGCCCTGCCCTGTCCCTGCTCTCAAACCTGTTCTGAGAATCATGAGACTTCGAGGCAAGGCGCTTCATTCACACGCATGCCACTGCTACTACGTGGGTGTCCCCTGTGGCCCCATGTCTTTTATTATGGTATAGCAGCACTGGTGAGAGTTCCAGGGGACGTGTTCCTTTGTTCATTTTGTACTTGCCGTCCCGATAAAATGACCAGCTATAAAAGTCTGAGATTCTTGGTAATTAAGAGCTCAGGACATCAAGGTGCGCTTTGCAGACTCTCAGAGAAAGGCCTTCACCAGTGAACGAGGGGCCTCTATTTCCGCCAGGAACAGGATCAGTGTGCCTGACTGGTCTTTTTGGGACAATTCAGCTTCATCAGTAGCTAAGTGCATGCGGTCTCTGAAGCCCTGGGCAGGTGGGTCCTGATGGAGAACAGAAAGACAGCGTGGGGGAAGCTGACACGCCATCTCTTGTAAATTCGTGTTCGCTAATTTTGCTTCACTGTTGCATAGAACTCACTTAGAAAGTAATAGTTCTATAAGGGGCCTAGCCTTCGTTTTCTTCACTGATAACTAGATAACCTCCTAATGGTTAAGTCAATATAGCAAGTCATTAAGTCTGGCATGGCAGTGACAACCGAAGAACGGGATGTCCGGAGTCAGTGGCTTTCACTAATGCCCTCCGTGTCTGTATTCACCTGGAGCAGGTTCACTTTCCTGCTCAGAACGGTACCGTACCGCCTTCCTGGTCGCATTGCCTCATGGCGGACACTCAGATGTGCGTTAGCGTTTAGACCCCTGGGCTTTGAGAACTGGCCTGTTCTGCAGATCTCTAGCCGCCGTTTCTTCCTTCGGGGGATCCCGTTATGAGCAGCAAGGTCCTCGGTCATTTTCAAAGCAGTTTTCTACTTGATGGTCAGATGAGCCATCCTCGTATGTAACTTCTCCGGGGCCTCAGCGTGGGCCAGCCTATAGCCTAGCCGTGCGCGAAAGCGGATTCCGTGTGGCCAGCCACCGTTCAAGTCCACCTGGTGACTTGAAAAACATGCATGCACACGCCCCAAACCCCGACGGGATGGAGGAAAAAGGCCTGCAGCCTGGTCACCCCCGGAAGGCCACGCACACGCTTTTTCTCTCTTTCTTACTCTATCTGCCGAGCACACACGTCCTCTGGCAATAAAAAATAACTAAGTGAACTCGTAAGTGGTCGTCATTCTGAAGTCCAGCAAAGAAGGCAGGTCTGAAGTTTCTAGGGGTTTCTTTCTGCTAGATCTGAGAATTACATCTAGTGCAGATTTTAAATAAAAAAATTTAAAAATGCAAGAATTTTAAGTTTAATCCAGAATTATGAAAAATATATTAAGTTTGTTCTTAAAAGTGAAATATTGCTTCGGAAATAGACTTGCCAAGGTAGGGGATCTTTCCCACCAGGTAGAGACTTGGTGGGAGGAGGCTGTGGAGGTGGCGCTGAGGGGACCCTTGGGCCACTCCAGGCTGATCCCCGTGACCATCCTAGCCCCTCCATGACAGCCTTCCAGTTACCTTGGGCCCCTGTGTTTTATCTGTGCTTGATGACATGTCAGTATCTAGTAGAGGGGTGAGTCTTTCTAGAAGAGGCCGTGGAGGGAGAACAGAGGA